TCCCATTTTGGGCAATAGTGCGTCCCAGCGACCGGCTGCAGTGAGACAGCCGGCAGCAGAGACAACGTCAGCTGGCGCTGTCAACAAACGGCCGCCGCTGGCACGCGCACAGTATCCGGGATCTCGTTGCACTGGCACCGGACTCTCTGTCAACTATAGACTGAAACAGCAGCAGACGGCAGCCGCAGCTGCTGCTGCAGCAGGAGCAGCGTCTCCAACCGCCGGACAGCTAATAACTCCCCCCGATTCGCCAGAGAATGCAGCCAGCAACAAGACCCCAGCCGCCCCATCTACGGGTCATCATCAAGTGGACTTCAATTTGCAGCAGCCGCAGCTGCCGGTGAGTGACTCATGAGATCGACATAATCCAACTGCTACAACTGTTTCATTAACCGTTTTTCATCCAATACAGATTCAGCCCGTGCGCCTGGACGTTAACTTTAAATTCGATCCGGCCTACGATGCGATCTCCTCGCTAAAACAATACTGTGTTGCACTGGGCTATGCGCCGCCAGAGTACGAGTTTTACAATGCGAACAAGACGAACAGGCTCCACTGCAAGGTGCGCATTGGCGAGAGCATCTACACCAGCTACCCTGAGGAGCATTTTGATGAGGGGGCGGCCAGGCAGCGCGCCTCCGAGGTGGCCATTGAGCGTCTGCAGGTGCTGGAATCGCGCAAGCAGTTGTCAATTCTAAGCGATAACGAATTTCTGGAGGGCCTCTACCAGGAGCTGATCAAGCATCCGCATGGTATTGTTAGCCACAAGCTGCCCGAGTGGTACGAGGCGTCGGTGAAACGGCAGGTGCCCAACAACTGGTGGACTTTGATCAACGTTTCGCCCAAAATGCGCATCGAGAGCAGCGTCAATACGCACATTGTGTTTGCCAACACAGCCGCAGGCAGTCCGATCCTGCAGCCGAACGTGGGCCCAACAGCGATGCCGGAGCTGCAGCTGCCCTGGACGGATGGCCAGCAGGACTGGAGCATGTATATCACACACTGCGACAACACCACCCATGTTTGGGCGCGTCTGATCGAGCAGAGCGCACAGTTCGAGAAGCTCACCGAGCAGCTGAATGCGCACATGTCGCGCCTGCAGAATCGCCAGCCAGTGCAGCAGCAGCCCCTCGAGCACCAAATCTATGCAGTCGAGGTCAGCGAGAATTGGAATCGTGTGCGTGTCATGTCGCTGGATGCGGAGCAGCGTCAGTGCAGCTGTCATTTTGTGGACTTTGGCGACGAGGTGGTCTTCAGATATGATGCGCTATACGTGTGTCCCTCACAATTCCTGACGCTGCCCGCTCAAGCCGTGTGCCTCAGCATGTATGCACTCGACAAATTCGAGGAGCATCCGCATGCGCTGCCTGTGCTGGCCAAGGAGCTGGCCGGGCACAGCGTTGTGACCCGCATCATCACTAGCGAGGCGCAGTTTCATCAATCGGGTGGACTCGCTCAGGGCGTGCTCGTACCGCTGGAAGTGCCGGCTGAGGAAAATGGCTATGCCCATGCGGGCATGCGACGTGCGTGCATCGTTGGCACCTTCTATGATACATCCACGGCCGAGGATATTCACCTCAATGATTTGGTGGCCAATCAGATAATACGCAACACGCCCGCACCGATGCTGAAGCTTGACCAGAAACCTAACCAAGTGCTCGTCTCGCACGTTAACGACGTTGGCGATCTGATGGTGCAGCTGCCCAACGAAGATCTCAAATTTGTACAGCGCAGCATTGCCAAGATTATGAGCGACAGCAGCGAACAGCATCGCGTACGCTTTTCGGATCTGTTGCACGACCAGCTTGTCTGCGTCTGCGATGAGCCGACAGACGGGGCCAAGCAATGGTATCGTGGCATGCTCACTGCCAAGCCCAAGAGTCCCGAGGAGGAGGTCTTCGATGTGTATTACGTGGACGACGGCCGATTGCGCAAGACGCACATCTCAAATATCTATCGCTTAGAGGCCAACAATCTGGCGCTGGCCTCCTATCCGGCTCAAGCGTTGCGGGTGCGCCTGCACGATGTGCCGCCCATTGATAACCAGATGGTTGGACTGCTTCGCAGACTGCTATCGCCCCAAACGCCAGTTTTGGTAAGTGAAGAAGCCTACATGACCTGTTAATATCAAAGTATAACTCTCTGGTTTAACGGCAGCTGAAGGTAATGGAGGGCGCCAATGATAAGCTGCCCATGGTCACAATTCATGCGCGCGGCACGGATAGCTTGTACGTGTGCTTGAACAGTGCGATTCGCGTCGAGCATGAGGTGCAGAGGTAAGTTGAGAACTGTTCGCTTCACTCATACAAATCAATCATACGACACGACACCTGCACACACTCGCACACACACACACACACACACACACAAACACGCACAACATGTACAAACTGTTGCTGTTTTGCTCTTCTGTGGTTTAATGATAGTTTCTAATTAGTGCTTTCAATAAACTGGACCTGACATGAAACTATCGCTACAAAATTATCTCAACATTAACGACTCCTTCAACTCACAGCATCCCGTAAGCTAACCTTCGTTCGATCGCTCACCAAGTGCTTAGTTCTAAGAATCATTATCCATCATTTGTACATAGTTATATAAACAAAAAGAAAAAAAAGGGAGACAGAAATACATGCATTGAATATGTGTATTAACGATTGTACTGCCAAAAGTGAAAATTGAGTTTTTCATATGATACTATGTGTGTTACCTCATTAAATCCATTCCTACTCCATCCCATTCCCACCTTCCACATCCAACATCCAACAACTACTCCCTTTGCTACCCCGCTTATGTCTATAGCACGACGCGGCCGGAACCGTTCGATGACGGCGGCTTGCACTTTAGTCCAAGCGGTCAGCTGATTCGTCGCAGCAGCTTCAGCTCCACGGTGTCCAGCCAGAGCAGCTGCAGCGATCAGCCGACAGCAGTTGGCATCGCCTCGCCTCCAAGCACGCCCGTCAAGGCGAAGGCCGCTCTTCTGCCCATGCTCAAGGAATACGAGGCCATACCAGCTCTGGGCGCCTATTTTGAGGTGCGTGTCGCGCTCTCTGTGAATCCTGGTCGTTTTGCGGTAAGTGAAGAACTCCAATACTCTCCCGTCCATAGCTAATCACTGCCTTCCAACACAGGTGCAGCCGTACAAGTGCTACAATCAGCTGCAACGTATGATGAAGGAGCTGCAGACCCATTGCAAAAGCCCCTCTGCTCAGAGTGTGGAGTTGGCGCAGCTGAATGTTGGTCAGGCCTATGTCGCGGCAGACAGCGATGGCGTCTATCATCGGTGAGGCTGCTCGAGTCTTATTAGCCACAGCAAGATTTCAGTTTCTCTTATACTCCTTGCAGCGTAAATATTCGCAATATTTTCGATGAGATGATACACGTGCGCTATGTGGACGCTGGCGACGATGGCGTTGTGCGCTGCAATCAACTGTTGCAGCTAACGCCTGAGTTCCGTGAGCTGCCCATGATGGCTCTGCCGGCACAGCTCCATGGTGCGTTAGACAAACAAAATAGTTGCAATAGAAACTCGTAACAATTAACAATTTGTGCAGGTATTCAATTGGAGGGCATCGATTGGACACAGGAGAATTGTGTGCGGTTTCGAAAGCTGACGTTGGGCCAGAAATTCATTGGGATTGTGAGGCGCGTTGACAAGCTAAAAGATAATCGACGCGCGCTCAGTCTAGAGCTGATTGATACCTCAACGCCGCAGGATATTAAAGTGCACGAGACTCTAATAAGCGAGAAACATGCGCTAGCTGCTCCATAACCCCATAACCTAAACGATCTTCCTTGATGGGAGTATTAAATTTACGACTCATTTGTTTTGTTTACGTTTATTTGTTTAAATTATGTGGCCGACAGTTATTACAAGCATATACACATATTTATGAGCAGACATTCCGCGTCTAACCTAAGATATACATCTATATATATATATATTACCATGTTTTACTCTGTTGTATTCAAGCAAAGCGCAACAATAAATTATGATTTTTGCTATCGAGAGAACGGATGCACTTGGTTCGCCGACTTGATGTTGGTCTTCACCGCCGACGGAGCCTTGCCCAGCTGCTGTTGCACATTGCCTGGACTCATTGATGGCCCGCCCATGGGCGGCGTGGGACCGCGAATCGATGGAGGCACCATCATGCCAGGTCCCGGTCCTGGCCCGTAGTTGGCTTTGTATTGCAGACCTTTGCCCATGCCAACTGTCGCCACCAGCAGCTGTGTGTCCGCCATGCTGCTTGTCTGCTGTATGCCTGTACGTGAGCTGGACTCGATCTCCCACTCTTCGCGCGCTTTGCTCACCATGTCCAATACGTGAGAGACGACTTTGTTGTACTGTGTAACCTGCTTCATGGCCGCGTCATTGGTTAAGTTTGCCGCCTTCTGTTCGTTCTGCTGCATCTTTTGCTCTGTAATGGGATCGGGTCGTGTGCGCAGATAATCGGGCACTATGTCATGCGAGAAGACTGGCACACGTCCTTCCGTGATGTTGACCAGCGTTTCGTCGCGATCCATGGAAACGAGCAGCGGCAGCACGGTGCGATTTCGTAACGGTGGGCACTGCTCCTTGGCCAAGATCTTAGTCAGACCCGTCAGATGGCTTGAAATGATAGCGAAGTTATCCAGAAACGTTGGCCAATTGATGTCCATGTACTCCATTTCCAGTTTCTGTATCATAGAGAGTACCGCCAGCTTCAGATCGTTTAGACGCTGCACGACCGCATCTAGCGTCATTTCAAAATGTTTTTCTTCGCGCTGCATGTTTTGTTTATGGCAATATTTTCGAATAGGGTTTAAAGTTTCGACCAACAGCAAATATTTACGAGGCGTTTCACAGCTGTCTTGTGGCTTACCGATAGTATATCGATTAGTCAGTATTTAAATACTGCGTTACGATATTTGCATACGATACTACTGATATCGATTACACTGAGCTATCGGTTCGCGCCAAATTCTTAAACCAATCAGCCACATCAGCAGAAATTGAGTTTCTTAGTGCGCAGCAAAACGACAGCATATTATTATTAATTTAGATCTTATGGCAAGTGTAAGTGTAAGTTTACTTCAATATTAATCGTATTGAAAGATATATTATAGTTTTGAATAGAAGGACTCGTGCACCACCATGCCCGACTGAATGTCGCCCAGTGATTGGCAACCGGTCAATTTCATCGTGATTTCAAAATCGTTTCTTAATACAGTCAGCAATTGTTCGACGCCGCGTTGTCCATTATAGGCCAGACCGTAGACTGCCGGGCGGCCAATAAAAACGGTTTTGGCACCCAGGGCCAATGCCTTGAAAATGTCATTTCCCTGCATAATGCCGCCGTCTAGCATGACAACCAGATCGTTGCCGACAGCTTTCACCACCTCGGGAAGCGCCTCAATTGAGGCTGGCACCGTGTCAATTTGGCGGGCGCCATGATTGGAGACAATCACCCCAGCGCAGCCAAATTCACGAGCCAAAACGGCATCTTCTGCGGTCAGCACGCCCTTGGCAATGATGGGCAGGTGGGTCAGCTGCTTCAGCCAGTTGATGTCCTCCCAGGTGATGCTGGCATCGAATTGGCTGGCCACGTACTCGTTAATGCCGGAGCCACCCATTGTGACCACACCGTTCGCCTGCTCGCCCCGAAAGTTGGCCAGGCTCAGATGCTGCGGCAGACTGAATTTGTTGCGCACATCGGAGCGCCGATGCCCAAATACAGGAGCATCAACAGTCAGAACCAAAGCCTTGAAATTGGCCCTTTCGGCGCGCCGAACTAGCTTCTCGGTAAGTGAGCTGCAAATAAAAATGTCATTCATTTTGTACGTCACTAGGATGAGTAGTTGAATCGCACCGATCTTTGTAGATATAGAGCTGGAACCATTTGCAGGTGTCCGGCGCCCCGGCCGACAAGTCCTCCAGCGATGTGGTGGAAAGTGTGCTCAAAATGAATATGGAACCAGCTTTGCCCGCGGCCCGTGCATTGCCGATTTCACCATCCGGGTGCGCCATCTTTTGCATCGCGGTTGGGGCAATGCCCAGCGGCCATTTGAGCTGCTGTCCAAAGATCATACAGCCCAGATCTAGCTGTGAGACGTCGCGTAGAAAACGTGGACGCAGGCGCAATCTGCCGATAGAGCAAAAGCTAGAATTGACAACCTAAACTCTGGGCAAGCACAAAACCTTTTAAATGCCTCGCGATTTAGTCCAAGCGTAAACTGTTCGCCTGCCCCGCTTCTGTAATAATCCAATGCATTCTTCTCCAGCTGGCTGCTAGCCTTGCGCTCAAAGTCCTCGACACAAACCAGCTCCATGTCGCTGAGTAAATTATGTAACAAATTATTATACGGACCAGATTTTATTGCCGGCAGTGCTCGCTGCTCTCGCTCGACTGAATCTCAGTTCTTCTAATCTTAGTAGCTGATAACTGCAAGCTATACTATACTAGACATTTCAGGTCGAGCAGAGATCTGTGTAGCTCGCGGAGATGAAAAAAAAAAAACAAATAAACAAAATAATAACAAGATCGGTTATCTTCGACGCGCGGGGGACTAAAGACTCTTGCAAACATGTGGCTTAGACATGATTTAATACGAAAACCTTAGACGCAAAAGATTTCTTCTACAAACGATATATCTATCTATCTATAGTATCTATATACTATATCCTATCACACAGATATATATCAGAGTGTAGTTACACGTTTCGTGATAATAAATAAATGGACAAGACAATCAGACAATCCTATCTTGCACTGATAAGCCCTATATGAATATTTAAATTTGATTCTCATTTTAGCTGAAGATCTTTGTCAAGGTTGAAAAGTACGAACTAAAGCGCAAATTCAATTAGTTGATTTTGCTCTATCGCGATAATTTAGCTATGTCTGGTTCATTCGTTTCAAGAAACATTATAATTGCATTAAGATATTTACAAATTACAAACAAACTCAACATTGAACTCAAAAATAATAAATTAAGTAACAATCAGACACTATACGTTTCCTTTAGGTTCCTGAAATATTCCAAATCAGTTTGGCTGATTGAAGGCACGAATTTGTTGAAGGATGTCGTGAAGTCCTCCGCCTCAACGATAATGTGCTCGGCAGTTAGCTCCTTGGCCGACAACCCGCAACCCAAATGCTTGCTTATGGTTCGCCTTACCGCCGAGAGCCAAGCATTGGAGCATATCGAGTACAAGTCCGCGCCGCTCATTTCGCTCTTCAGACGCTCGGCAATCTCGGCCAAGTCCACGTCGCCGGCCAGTTTAAAGCGCTGTGTTTGTGCACGCAAAACCGCCGCCTTGTCATCGGCCGTAGAGCACGGGCCGACATAGAAGAGTTTATCAAAGCGGCCGGGTCGCAGCAGAGCGGGATCAATTAGATCCGGACGATTTGTGGCAGCCAGTATGAAAATGGGTTTTGTGGCGTCTCCGTTGCACATGCCGTCCATCTCAGCGAGCAGCTGTGATACCACGCGATCCATGACGCCGCCCGAGTCACCAGCCACACCTCGATTCGGTGCCAACGAGTCCAGCTCGTCCAAAAACAGTACACATGGCGCTGCTGAGCGGGCGCGCGTAAATACTTCACGCACATTTTGCTCGCTCTGTCCCACATACATGTTGAGCAGCTCGGGGCCCTGAACGGAAAGAAAGCTTAGATTGCATTCGGTGGCCACCGCCTTGGCGACCAGAGTTTTGCCAGTGCCTGGTGGTCCGTAGAGCAGTATGCCAGAACGCCGCAAATTCTTTCCCATGAGATGTACGTGCTTCAGCGGCAGTCCTATGCTGCTTTGTATTTCATCCTTTAGCTTATATAGACCTCCAATATCGGACCAGTATACCTTCGGCACCTTAGGCGCGCCCAGGCTGTCGGCAAACGAGCTCTGCATCTCGTTTAGATTTTTAGAAAAGTGCTCTAGAGTTAGATGACTTTCTCCGTGGGATTGGCGACGCTTGAGTCGCACAGCATTATCGTAGAGCAGCTGCAGATCACCCAACATAAATCCCTGCGACTTAGCCGCAACCTCGTGCAAAGCACTCCTCGTCACGTTCCACTCTGGAGAGAGCCTGTTCATATAGCGGGCTTGCATGTGCAGTGGAAAAAGCGGCAGCTTGGCTAATGCCTTTTGGTTGTAAATTGCGTCGTTAAAGGATTCACGCACGTGCATCCACTTTAGCAGCTCGAATCGTTCTGCTTGATTGGGTGCTTCAATGCTGATTATCTCCAAGAAAATGCCCTGTATCATCGGTTTTAAATGTTTGTCGCTAGTCAACGCTACAACCACGATCGGATGCTTGCGGTCGCGGGTAAATAATTCCTGGATCTGTACGTGAAAGGCAGACAGCAAGCGTAGGTCCTCGTTTCCTTCGTTGTCGATGCCGAATATCTGTGAGGAGAGTAAACAAATATTATATATATTTTTCATTATAAGCGTATTGCAGTTTACCTCAAAGTTGTGAAAACAGATCAGCAGCGGTTCGCTAACCTGGCTCTTCGCAAATACCGCCTTGAGTTTCATCTCTGTGTGTGATGGAACTTGGGATACAATTTCCGCACAGTCCGCTCCGTACAGGTGCATGCCCAGCTCCTGAGCCACCGCATTGATGAGCTTCGTTTTGCCTGAGCCGCGCTCGCCCTGCAGCAAGAAGACGGGAAAAATGTGCTTCGATGATAGACAGGCAGACTGTTTTGGCAAAAATGCATCCAACGAAGAGCGCAGCATTTGATAGGGCTTCCTCAGACCACTGGGATAGTTGTCTGCAATGGCACAGCTGTCCAGAATTTGGCGGGGCAGAAAGCTGTGCGCATGTGGCACCTGCACCAGGTTGCTGAAGTTCTTTGCCACGACTGCCTGCAGCTCAAACTCGCTGCCTTTCGCCTCCAGGTGCACACAGCGAAAGTAGACCTCGCGCAGAAAAGCGAAAATCAGATAGTAATGGGCATAGGCTGCGGTGCCCACCAGCTGTGCGTTCACTTCGATGCGGTAGATGTGGCCACGGTGCAGCATGCGTGGCGTATTGAAATAGTTGCTCAGAATTAGCTCAGACACCTCTGGCGGCAGCTCGTGCGGATTGTTGAGCAGATAGACGTGCGCCTTTGTGGCAATAGTCGGTATCGTTTGTTCGTCGCTGAAGCACTCCAGCTGAACCCAGCAATTGTTGCGCTTGTGCTTGCTGGTGCCGCATCGATCCATTAAGTTGCCATAAAAGTTTTCCTAAAGACGTGTGCAAACAGAATCAGATTGCAACTTTGTGGATATATCTATGTTTGAAGAGTACCTGCACATACAGACAATTGCTCTGGCACTGTGAGTTCTCTACTGGAAGTATCTGGGCCACTATCGTGTATGGCGTATCCTGCAAGATTTGTTTGACAACCACCTCCGATGTGTCCCAGGAGTGATCGGAGCCAGTGCCAGCGGTTTTAGTGGCCTTGCCCCCTCCACGTACAATTAAATTGACAAAATTGACATCGTCCGATTCAGCGTAGGTGCTGTACACATCCATGCTGGCCAGAAGCACATGCTCGGACTTGATCAGCTCGTTCTTGGTCAGCAACTCGTACAGCCGATTGGGCAGGGGCGTCAGCAGAAACTTGCCCCTGTAGTATTTGGCGTAACGCCAATATACCGCATATATCAAATAGCCAGGGTAAAAGTACCACGGCCACTTTGGCACAAGCAATTGCACCGCAGAATTATACGCCTCGACCAGCTCCAACATGCGTCCGGTGTAAGTGTATCTAGGTTCGCCATCGCCGGCTGCATCACTGTCAATGGACTTTGATGCTTTGGGGGCAACTTTTTTCTGTGAAGGTCAACAGTTGCAATAGTTATTTATATAAAGCAACATTTAAAGAGATATATATATATATATAGAGAATCACACATGCACACAGATATTCAGCTTTATCAAACCTACCACAACAAAATCAACTTCACTCATGGTTTGGAGACATAGAATACAAAGGTTACTTTGGGGCAGGCAAAGTCTGAATGCTGGGGATTGGATCACAGGCACTACATATAGGCACAAAGTTATTCTGAAAATAGCTGTTATTGCTAAATAATGTTAATTTATGCCGCCATTCTTACAAATTATTATCAAAAATATGTTATGGGGTTACGTACCTTCTTTACAACAACTCTTTTCTTCATGACTTTTAACCTAAAATATTTTTCAACTGCTTAAAGCTGCACGTTGGAGTTTTTAAAGAAAGTTGGCTCAATAGCAAGTTCTAGTAAACATTTAATTTAAATATTATGTATGAGTTATAAATATTTCTCGCTGTTAGGTATGGTTGAAATTAACCAGTGCTGTGTAACGCAAGCTTTCAGACCTGTGATTTGAAAATATGCAGAAAAATACCAAACTCTAAACACTGCGTTCATATTCGATAATGGCCAAATCGTTGCTGTACGCATTGCCAAGGTATATCGATATCGATATTACCAAAACAAACACAAACTTTAAGAAAATAATTTTGTTTAATAATGAGTTTAGAAGTAACCAACATAAATGGCGGCAATGGCAGCGAGACTCCGTCACAGTCGCAGGACAAGCGGGAGCTACTATGCTTGCTCAAGCTGCTGAGAAAATATCAACTAAAAGGAACGGAGGAGCTGCTCTGCCAAGAGGCAAATGTGAACAGTGCAGATCTCGCTAATATCTGTGATGGCGACGTCAAGGCAGTGCTCAGTGCCGCATTGGCCCTGGCTGATGACGACCACAAGCGCCAGTCTACCCAGGCGCAAGCATCAACGTCCGTCGAAGCGAAGGCCGTGACCGAAGCGAACGCAGCCGAAGCGCTGGCAAAGTTTATCGGCGATGATGCCTTTGATGCCCAGCATTATGAGCAGGCGTACGAGGAGTTGCGCACGTTTGTGGAGGAATCCTTGGACATTTATAAGCACGAGCTGTCTATGGTCCTTTATCCGATACTGGTGCAAATCTATTTCAAGATTCTTGCCAGCGGGCAGATTGAGAAGGCACGAGCGTTCATTGAGAAATACAAATCGGATCTGGATGGCTACTATATCGAGGGTCTGTTCAACTTGTTGCTAATATCGAAGCCGGAGAAGCTGCTGGATAACGATCTGGTGTCTGCAATGGAGACGGATAAGTTCGTGATACGCATGTCGCGGGATGCCCATTCGCTGTTCAAGCGTCACATACAGGATCGCAGGCAGGAGGTGGTAGCGGACATCGTGTCCAAGTATCTGCATTTTGATACCTACGAGGGCATGGCGCGCAACAAGTTGCAGTGCGTGGCAACGGCTGGCTCGCACATTGGCGACGCAAAGCGACAGGATAACAAAATCCGTGTCTACTATGGTCTGCTCAAAGAGGTGGACTTTCAGACGTTGACCACGCCAGCGCCGGCACCCGAAGAAGAGGACGATGATCCGGATGCGCCAGATCGACCCAAAAAGAAGAAGCCCAAAAAAGATCCGCTGCTTTCCAAGAAATCGAAATCAGACCCCAATGCACCTGCCATAGATCGCATACCCTTGCCGGAGCTCAAGGACGCAGACAAATTGCTCAAGCTCAAGGCGTTGCGTGAGGCCAGCAAGCGTTTGCCGCTCAGCAAGGATCAGCTGCCCTCTGCCGTATTCTACACAATACTCAACTCTATGCAGGGGGTCACATGTGCCGAGATATCTGATGATTCCACAATGCTGGCCTGCGGATTTGGTGACTCCACTGTGCGCATCTGGTCGCTGACGCCAGCGAAACTGCGCGCACTCAAAGAGGCCGATGCGCTACGTGAACTCGATAAGGAGTCGGCTGACATAAATGCCCGAATGCTGGATGAGCGCAGCGGCGAGATGACGCGCTCCTTCTTGGGGCACACGGGCCCAGTCTATCGCTGTGCCTTTGCGCCCGAGATGAATTTGCTGCTTTCCTGCTCAGAGGATAGCACCATCCGGCTGTGGTCCCTGCTCACCTGGTCTTGCGTGGTCACCTATCGCGGCCACGTCTATCCCGTTTGGGATGTGCGCTTTGCGCCACACGGCTACTATTTTGTGTCATGCTCCTATGACAAAACTGCTCGCCTGTGGGCCACCGACTCAAATCAGGCGCTACGCGTCTTTGTCGGTCACCTTTCGGACGTGGACTGCGTGCAATTTCATCCCAACTCCAATTACGTAGCCACTGGGTCCAGCGATCGCACTGTGCGCCTGTGGGACGCGCTAACAGGCCAGTCCGTGCGCCTCATGACCGGCCATAAGGGCACGGTTAGCTCTCTGGCGTTTTCTACATGCGGCCGTTATTTGGCTTCCGGCTCCGTCGACCACAACATCATCATCTGGGACCTGTCGAACGGCTCATTGGTCACCACGCTGTTGCGGCACACCAGCACCGTATCCACCATTACATTCAGCCGCGATGGCACAGTGCTGGCCGCCGCCGGACTCGACAACAATCTGACACTCTGGGACTTTCACAAGCTCACCGATGACTATCTGAGCAACCAGATCACAGTGTCGCATCATCAGGACGAAAATGACGAGGACGTTTACCTGTTGCGCACTTTCCCCAGCAAGAACTCGCCGTTTGTGACCCTCCACTTCACGCGCCGCAATCTCTTGATGTGCGTCGGTCTGTTCAAGAGCTAGACGCTGTATTTCCAATAATATTGGATACTTTAAGCAAAGCAGTCACCCTTTCAGAGGTCTAAGAATTTATTGCTGGAAAACTTTCGATTTGTGACCAATTCGTTTGATTTTAAGATAAAGTAGTTAAAGTAGTTGATTTTCAACATTATCATTAAGCTTCTTTTGTCAAACTATCAATTATCCATTTACTGTTGCCCAAATTCCATAACGTATAATAAAAAATATATTGGATTTTGATATATGTGCTATTTTTAAGATATTTTAATATAGAATAGTTAGATATTTTTGTATACATTCTTTGTAAATGTACATAACTATTTATTTTCGTTCGGGTTTAACATACAGAGTAGACATTTTATTCGGCATCGGGAATACCGAAGGTGCGTCGCACAGCCTCAAAATTCTTGATGTTGAATACGGAACAACGCGGCGGTTTCTCGCCGCCAAAGGCGAGCGTGTAAGGATCTTCGGGGCACTGTCGCATGCACTGCAAACGACCCATGTTGAAGTCATGCTCGTAGACGTGCTTGGGCTCGATGCTGTTGAAGTTCCATATCTTGAGCGTGCCTTCCGTGGACGTAGAAGTGAGCAGGTTGGGCATTAGCTTGTTGAAGCACACACCAGATATTTCCTCGTTGTGGGCTTTGACAGACCAGAGCAGGTTTTGGGGCCGACGTTTATCGGCATAGTGCAGGTTGCCGTCGTTGGTGCCAATGATAAAGTAATTGGTTTCTGTGGGATGCCAAAGGACTTTCTCCACCTCGCCGTCAATCTGCCATTTGACAAATGCCGCGTTTACATTCTCGGCGTCGCGGCAGTCGAACAAGCGGACGTAACCATCCGCACAGCCGGCGAGAATGCTTTGTGCCTCCTCCGGATGGAATTCTATGGATTGCACCTTCTCTTCGAAGGCGGTGATGGTTGTGTGCGGCTGGCCCTCATCCATGTCCCAAAGGATGAGCGTTCGGTCCACTGAGCCACTCGCTAGTATGTGCTCAAATTGGGGATTCCACGATAAATCCAGCACAGCATCTTTGTGCCCGTACTGTTCCTTCTGTTTTTTGCGATTACCCTTTGAGCCAAGCTTGAATGTCGGCTCAATGGAATCCTGTATATCCAGATCCCAGATGGTGATAATCGGATCCATGCAGCCGATGGCGCACATATTACCTGGCTTGTCGCTGCCCGCATCGTGGTTCATCCACTCGATGCACAACGGGAAGCTTGGCAGCAAAAAGTCGTGGTGTGTGTAAAGAGCCTGCTCCTCCTGATTGAACACCCAGACCTCCATGCTAGCGGCGTCGTCCTGCACGTGCCCGACGAGAACCAGGTTGTCAGTTGGCTTAATCACCTCGTCCTCGGCCTCGGAGTCTTCGTCCTCGTCGGGCACCTGCTCATCGGCGTCAACAACGTTGGCAATGTTTGTTACCGTAGAGTTTGCTTCGTTCTCATAATTCTCGAAGTTGAATTCGTCATCTTGTGGATTTGCATTGTTAGCGCTGGCAGCGGGTGGCTCGCGGTCGACATCCATATTTTCTTCGTCCTCATCTTCGTCATCGTCGTCCTCATGCAACTGGTCCCGAGTCTCGCCAATAATGCGCGCAAGCTCCGCCTGTGTTAGGACAATTTTTTCAGGACGCTCTTTGGTGACGCCGCGTGGAACAAAGCACAGGGCTGGCACGAAGTCTATGCTTGGCTCCGCTGGACCATCCTCCACTTCCGTCATTGCTCAAATAGTTAATATTTACAAAACTAAATGAGGAGCTGTTACAAATCACCAACAGGCCAACAAGCACGTGCACGAGTTAGCTGCAAATAATGCCAAATAGAAAAGCTGGTCACCCTAGAGAGAGACAGTGTGGCCATATAATGTTCACTAGTAAAGCAAATCGATATCGATTTTCGAAAAGCTCACGAGCCCGCTATTCTTCAAAATTGAATGCATGATAAAACTGCCTCAGAATTTTTATTTTTTAATTCCCCATTTTATTTATTGTTTGTCAACCATACAAAATAGTACGAACTATGTTCCGCGATAAGTGCTGTAACCATAGGGGCTTAGTAAAAGCGGAACATGATAGTTTTGTTCCTCACTGCAATCCACTATCAGCTCGACGGCTGGATAAAAGGTTTTTATATTTTGCGCAGCAAAATATGCTCCCACATGAAAGGTTAACTTATAGATTCCCTTGGAAAAGTCCGCTTGATCAAGTAGCTGACAGCGACCATCTGCATTGGTTTCCGATGGACGAAGTGCCTTCCATTCTTGGGATTCCTCCAGGCGATAGGTAGTTATCCTAATGTTAGCTGCTGCCTTTCCAGTTGAGGTGTTTAGCACATGCGTTGAAAGTTTACGTGTGTTCATTGCGGCGGACAATGTCTGACTAATGACTTCTGATAATCTCTCAACATTTAGCTTTAAACAAATGCCGGTTGTTTACATTTTGGAGATTTACCTGATAAGATACTGTTTCTTGCTACGATAAAAATGAGCGCGTATTATAAAATGTGTACTCCTATCAGTTTCGGTACGCAAAATGAATATAAAAAGATTATCTCGCGGTTCCGGATAAAAACATCATCCAACATAAGAGAAAAACTAACATAAGTTATCGATAGTCAGTTAACACTAGCATTTATGCTAAATAACAGTCCACAACAGCGCATTGCTCTGTTAAATAGCTAACTGCTGCATCGCTGACAGTTTGTTCTTTTTGTTATTGTAAAATTTGTTTTCGAGGCGGTCGGGTCGGCTGTTTTGCGTCGGAGCATCCGTATCGCGACTTTGAAAAATGTATTTCAAAGTATAAGCAAGGCCAATATTAAAGCATTAAATGTAAATTGCAACAATCTAGTTATCTAGTTATATTGTCAATTTTAATTATAAAATATATCTGGCGCCAATCCGCTCTGTAAATTGGTTGCGTTATTCGTCATTTCTGAGTGCCGGTTAAAATCATGCAATAATTGTGAAACTTATAGAATAATATTATTATTACCTGAGTTATAATATATGAAAATGATACGTCAACCGGCCAACGCCAATTGTCTATTTGTTTAATATCTTATTGTGATTTCATGTGCCCACATTTCCAGTGCAGCCAGAAGCAAAAGCAACAGTTGTTTGGCTTGAAACAGTGTGAAAAATAAATGAATTAATAAGCAAATGCAAATGTTATTCGCGCTTCGTTATGTCAAAGAAAATAGTAACAGAGAATAGAATCCGATCTATTATTATTGGAAAGTACTAACTTCTTTGTATGGACATATGTAAACGCGATTGCTTGCACACACATACACTTGTGGACATTGTGCATGTGTGTGTGTGTGTGTGTGTGTGTCAAGTCATACACAAACGCGAGCCTGAACCGCCGCCTGAGCAGAAGCATCGAAGTTACCAACTTCAATCCCAACAAATCTTAAACCAGTTTTAAGATACATATTCTTGTTGTGTGTCTGCGTGTGCATGTTGTTTTTTGTTTTTTCGCAGTATACTCTTGCATGGGGTATTATAATTTTATCACGAAATGTGTGACGCCTAAAAGGAGACAACTCCGATCCTGTCTGTTCCTATGCTAATCTCTCAGTCTTAAAACTCTCATGAAACTTTGCCTGGATTTGTCTGGCATACGAACAAAGTTCCAAAATCGAACTATTATATTGTAAATCTCCTCTAGTCATAATATTTGCGAAATTAATGTTTTTGAAAATATACGACACATAAGAAATGTCTGCAAGGGTATTTAGAGCTCGGCTTGTCGAATGTTGGCGTTCTTCTTGTTTTCGTTTTGCTGCCTCTGCAGCTTTGGGTGAATACGTGTGTATAAATATATACACACGCATACATATAAACGTAAGCATGTAAGTGTGTGTGTGTGTGTGTGTGCAAGCACAAGTCGGATACCCTTTGGCTGTTTCTCTCTTTACCTCGGCTTAAACTAATCGCGTGATGATTTTGTTGTTGTTGCTTGTTGTAATCCAACAAGTACTGCACGTCTCCTGCCTCCTCCCACGCGAAACAACAGTTTAAGGCAACAATAACAAGTTCAGTTTCTAACCAGATCAGCAACAACAGGAAAAGCCACAAACACACAAACACAAAGATTATGTTCCAATCAGACTAATTTTATAATTGAAATCTTTTTACCTGGAAACACAATTATATTTGAGGTAAGCTAAAAGTTTTTTGTTGTTTCTAAAAACTGAATAAACTCAATTATATATATGTATATAAAAAAAAATCAAGTAGATTTAATTGAATTGAAAACTATCAAAAAATTGACATACTCGTATGCATAAAATTTTAATTTCTTTATACTTATATATTTATATGTTATGGGCCACACTTTTATTTTCATTTTTTATTTGTTGCTTGTTGCTTGTACCTTAATTTATATCTTTGCCCTAGGCAATAAACTTTAAAGAAGAACCGTTATCTGCGTTTTGTTAAAGCTGAAATCTTTGTGTCCGCATCTTGGCCAATAATATATGCACATACATAATTGATTGCGAGCTGCCTAACCCACTCGCGCACAATTATGAAGCTCTCTGGAAAAAAAAGGGCCAAAAATATCATTTTAGCGGAGAGAGTGTTTACAATTTTGGACATTTCGATGTGGCCAGCAACGTAATGATCCCGTCGATTTCCATGCTAACGTAATTTTGCACAATTTCGGTTTGTTAGCCAACGATAAAAACGCAATCAGAAAGTGCTAACGGACGATGCGCAGATATGCTTAATTGATTGATACGATTCGATCGACAAATTTGAGGCCCGCGGCCAAATTAGCGCCACATTAACAGTATACAACATTTTACAATTTCCAATCTTCATTCATTTGCATACTTTTCATACTTAAGATACCCAAGATGTTGGCCAAACATCAAAGGCTGCTGGCAAATTAGAAACTAGCCGGCAATTATTGACAGACACTCTTGCACAGCGATGGCAAAAAAGTCTTGCTCCTCGACAGCAATTCGAGCTGAGCAGCGAGTAAAAAGTTAAATTCCAAGCTCATGAGTGCAGGCCAGCAACAGGAAATGAGTCCCCCGGCCCAGGCAAGTCGAGTTTTTAAGTACCTTTCGTTCGCTTGGCCATTGCAACGAGTAGTTCTTGTCATTTATCTGCAGCATACTCAGCTAAAGTTTATTTAAACTTCATGTCAAACTCGGTTCTTATGCTCTGTTACAAAGTTAAATCGAGTCTATTGGGATGCTCATGAGATGGGATGGCTCACGGTTCGAACCTGCTCCAGGCCGAAAATTGTAATTATTTAATTTAATTGAAGAAAACATGATTCAGTTCGGATTTTGGCTTGGCTCTTTTGTAGCACCCCCCCTCCCCACACATTGAACTGCTTGAATCTTGAAGTCAAAAAGAAAAACTTCTGTCAGAGAATGTAAGAAACAGGAGTCATATCAAAAAATGTCAGCTAGGTAGATCTACAATCGGTCAATCAATTAGTCACAGCGAATAGTTTTATATTTATATCGATTATTACAAACAAACACAATTATTTATTAATCGTATATGTTTATTTTTACTCTCTGATGTAAGATTGATAGTGTCATGAATAGTTGGGCCCAGATATGTCGCACACAAACACAGAGGCAGCACTCATGTGTGAGTACTCATACGAATAATTTCGAGTACTTGTGCTCAACCACACAGAAAACTGGAAAATATCTATCAGTTTTTTGCTGTCTTATATTTATATTCAAAGGGAATACTCTCTCTCTCTCTCTCTCTCTCTCTCTCTGGCTGTGCTCTCTGTTTGCCTAGATGGCCCGCATTCTGGCAGAGCGAACCGATCAGCAGTCCGGGGCCGTGTGGCACAGCTGCATCCGTGAGATACATAGCCGAGCGCACTCAAGGGCTGTTGTTTACATAAGGACATCCTGCTTGGAAAGAAAAAGAGGAGAGACACTTGATCAGACAATGTGCACAATGCCAGTTCCCGTCTGAGGATTTGCCTTTTGCACTGTCTCGTATTACAGGCCGGGCTGTGATTCTTGTGTGGCCACGTTTCGTGCCTGCATAAAGCGAATTTCAATAACGAACTGACGCACCCATTTGCGTATATAGTATCTATACTTACTTAAGTGTATCTAGCTGCACAGTTTGCAAATTTCTCAACACGTACTGTGTAAAATATATATATATATATATATATTACTTGGGCCAAGGAAAATTCCATAAAAAAAGTGTGTGTGCGCGACGGGTTCGTTGTGGATATAGATATTTTTAAAAATTCTTCGGCTTTGCCATGGCAAACTACTTACGAACCTAAATAAGCATATATATATATATATATATATATATATATATGTGTGTGTGAGTAGTATAAATGTGTAGTCGAGTTTGTGTTGATGTATTTGGCTGATGTTGCGGCAGTTAGCGTGACTGAGGCATTCGCCATGCTGAAGTGAGTTTTCAAATTTGATACAAATTTCAGTTTTCTTTCGCAGTTGTTTTACTGCCAAATTGCCGCTGCCAACAAGTCAACCAAGTCCGAACAGCACAACTCAGACCCAGACCCAGAAAACTGGCGCAAAATTCAAACACTGTATATAATTGGAAAGGCATTCGAGATGCTTAAGTGCTCGCTTGGAGCTGCTGCTGCCGATCTCCAAGGTGGTAATGGAGCTATTGCTCTTCGAATCCGAGCCCCATCTTTACTCGATTCAGTCGCGCACTAAATACCAATTGTAACGCAAACGTTAATCACATCAGCGAGAAAAAAATGAAAATGCTCAGGTGTAAATGCATATACAACACACGTTGTGCTTCGCGCCAATCTCTTAACTTATGCATGGGAAAAGTT